ACAACTACTAAACTGGTATATGTTATACTTTAAGCTGAGGTTATAATAAGATGAATACACTCTACTGACACACTTCACAACTACTAAACTGGTATATGTTATACTTTAAGCTGAGGTTATAATAAGATGAATACACTCTACTGACACACTTCACAACAACTAGTAAACTGGTATATGTTATACTTTAAGTTGAGGTTATAATAAGATGAATACACTCTACTGACACACTTCACAACAACTAGTAAACTGGTATATGTTATACTTTAAGTTGAGGTTATAATAAGATTCACAACAACTAGTAAACTGGTATATGTTATACTTTAAGCTGAGGTTATAATAAGAATTCACAACAACTAGTAAACTGGTATATGTTATACTTTAAGCTGAGGTTATAATAAGATTCACAACAACTAGTAAAGTGGTATATGTTATATGCTTCTAGCTGCCACATACAAGTCTGCATGTTTTTGAAATGGGTATCAGGACATTTTTATTAGTAGCTTTACTGGTTCTTTGTTAATACCTCTCCTGAAACTAGGAACTACACTTTCTATGTCAGTCACTTTTCAGTTTTTTTTCCTGTGCAAGTCATGTTTCACAAATCTAGGAAAAAAATGAGAACCAGGCTTTATGCCTCAAACGACAAAATGTGGCCATAAGGAGGGAAAGGAATCTGGTGAGCTTTTAAAAGCTTGTAAATATAACCTGACAACTTCTACTAAAATATGCTTGTTCTTTAAAGATAAAAAAAAAACAACGTAAAGATATATATATATATAAATACAATTGCTAAAGTAACAAAAAGAGTGTATTTATACTATTTGTTTTATCATCCATCATCAACCATAAATTATAAAGTTAGACTTTAAAAGGCCTAATTTTATCATGCCAACACATGGATTAGCAACCTAAAAACACTAACCCCACACCAGTTTTAGTAGATAAATCACAGAAGAGCAGTTTCATGCAAATTCTAAGTATTCTGCTTATTGAAATGAAACATTCTCATAGACTTTTGGTTAATGACAATTGGACAAATATGGATCCAGTGGCTTTGGTTAGTAACATCTCCTCTTACTTGAAAACCATCGTGACAATCTTTCGGTTTTTTCTTTGGTGGTTGATAATCTCGGCAATCTCCCATAACGGAATCCAACCACGTTTCTCGGCCAAGTACAATCTATGTATGGTATGTAATTTAACATGCACCTGTGAACTAGCCATATGATAACACTAACAATGCTAGATATCATAAAACTAATTAATTTTCAAGGATGAGCTGAAACAAAAGGGTTAACTGCAATGGATAGAGATCGCAGGGTCAATTACCAGAAAACTAAGTGCTCCATTAACAACTACATCCATTTCACAGATATAAGGGTTAGCAAGTGTGATTATCTGATGTTTATTGTATACAACAATTCTTTTATGAAGTGTAACTGACTACAGTCTAATATAGCTCTCCATGACGTAATACAAAATCAAACATCTCGGACTATATAGTCCAGTTGTTTAACCCATTTGTCCAGAACTGAACCACCTTGATCAGTTTTGTAACTCAGTAAAATCTATTGCAGTGGATCCAATTTATTTTTTTTGGGTGTGTGTGTAAACCATCTAAGTAATGACCCGTGTTTATGGGAAATTACTAATATCAATATATACAAAGTACAAAATCAAACTTTCCAGCTTTTGTTTTGTTCCTCATAACCCTCTGGCTCTTACTTATTACAGTTGATGTATGAACTCTATGTGCTATGTCATTTTGTTCAGATATTTTGTACAAATTAGGTTCGACACTAACATAATACTGTTTTATGAAAATACAAATATGATAACCATTATTCCATTTAAGTGGGCAAAGTCAGCCGTCTCTCTTATTTTTTACATTTAACCATTAACCAAGTAATCTGCTTCATATTTCAAGTTTCCCCCTAATGAGAATAAACAAATCTTAGTTGAGTCTACCATCTACTCAATAACAAGATGATCATAAACTTGTTATATAAATGGAATCCACGTACATTAGGAGCAAGTCTACAACGACATATATAAATATTAAAAAAAACTTACCTTAACTCCCTAAACCACCACCACTTGAACTTTTCAACAGCTACAAAAAAAAATAAAAAAATTTAACTTTCAGTCTACGATCGTGTAAAAATATTTACCCGGTGCTCTTAGAAGGTAACTACAAAGAAAAATTAGTTAATTCAGAATCCAAGTTGGAATATTACGAATTGTGTTTATAACATGGGATTTATCACGTGATTTTTGGTATATGGAAATCATACACGATGAGTGATATTTATGCTAACAAATGGCAAAGAACAACTTAGGAAGATTTAACAAGAATTCACTGTGTGTAAATGATGTTTCAAGCTGATCGTACATAGAAAAGTAACTAAAAGTTCCAAGGACTTTCAAAAAATTACCAAGCTTCTATTGTAAACACAAGTCTTGTGAGGGTTCTGTAGAAACATTTACAATTAAGAACAGGCATACTTTGTACGGTTGACGGGCCAACTGGCCTTTCGTTCTCCACTTTTTCCTTTTAAAAGTCTAAAACAAAATTCACCTGAAAATGTACCGTTAAGTATATTTTTTTAGTAATTGATTGTACATATTTTACTTTGCATATAGTTAGAATGTGCACAAGAGAAAAATACAATTTAATTTGTCATAGGTCATTGAAAAAATTTACATCATAGCATAAGTACCAGCTTCGAAGTAAGTTGTTTATCGAATGTTTGGACATTTTGATTTTTCCTATACTGTTAAAAATTCTTTTACAGCATTACAATATTAGACAATAACTAATTGTAAAAAGAGCAACCTGATATACTTAATTTAAACTTTCAGTAAAATAACTTAAAACAGTTACATTTCCATTCATAACACTTTATTACTTCCAAGCATGAGGTTTAGTTCAAGAAGATAACACATTTTTCTTTTGTTCTAAATTTAGGCAAGCATCATAACTTGTACCTAAATTAAGTATACATAACTTTATATAGCTAATTTAGCTGTATTAAGAAATCTTAATGATTTCAGGAACTCTGGGTACTTTATTCTGATATGTATGACAAAATAGAAGACTTTCACAACAAAACAAGAAACTGAAAAATTCTATGTTGCTGCTAATGTGTTGAGAAATTATACCTTTCATAATTGTCATGTAAAGAAAATACAGTTGGCAATTTTTATACTATTCTTAAGACTTTTTTTTATGGAATAATGAAAGTCAGTAACGTAAAAAATAGGAATATCATAAGGACAACCAATTACAGTAAGTAGCCTAACAGTGTAAGTTCAGAAAAACACAAGTGACTTATTAATGCATAATAAAAATATAAAACGTTTGTTAACTCTCCTGATACACTCAGTTTATAACACAATACAAGGCCTTCAAGTAGCCTTTACACATGGAATACGTTTCCACATTTCTTCATGAGTATACAAATGTTGTCAAACTTGTTTCCCGTCTTAATTGCAACATTAATAATTTAAAAAATATCTTACAGCCCTGACATTAATATTAAAAATTGTCACCGGTGTAATATAAAATTATTCAACAGAGGAAGAAACTAAATGTTCTTGTTGCTCACCTTAGTTATAAATCCACCTATATTATTCATTACGTCCGCTTAAATACAAAACGCTTGATATGACACAGTGATAAAAATTAATAACAATTTAACTTGTATCAAAATAGATACATGGAAATAATTTAATATTTGTATTATTTTCAACATGTATGACTATTTGTATCGTTTCATAAATCATTTTTATGGTTAATTACATATAATTATATATATTTCAGTATTAAAAGCTGACGAAGGAAGTAGTATCTTTTAGAAGAGTAACAATATTTATTCATTCTTTCTGCCATTAATATCAGATACCCTTACTACTTAGCGAGTTTTATACGTAAAAACAAATTTACTTTTTTCGAAACACTACTCATTATTTAAGTTTTCATATCATCTTCGTTATAAAAAAAACAACATTCTTTTTGAGTTGCCGAGTGATTAGGTTTCTAGCATTTTAACTCTACTACAAAGACAGTTTAATATGTGTGTCAAACGAACCACGTACCTTTCCCTTTATCCAAATACTGCCACGACGGCCATTAGCGCTAGCAGACTGTTTTCACTTGATATAGGCTTAGGTTCCAGTACACGAGATAGCCAGCTGATTGTCAGAAGGTACAGGTATTTTTAGTTACAGCAAGCCTACGTATTCTTAAAAGCTTGATGCTGAGACGAAAACGTGGTCGCGCGCGTGGTATACACATCACGAGCCTACATTTGCACGCACCAACCCAGCACATGCAATCGATCGTCTGGGCCGTGCTACGATTAGGAAAGTATACACGGCGTCTAAACAGCAAATGACGTTGCAAAGGAGTTGGAAAATATAGGGCAAGTTGGTCGTTTGTTTAGGATATTCGCGCAAACCTACGTAATGGCTATCTGTTCTTAATTATAAAGAGATACACTAGAGGGAAAACAGCTAGTCAACATCACCCATCGCCAATTTTAGGGCTACTCTTGTCTGACAGAATAGTGTTATTTGACCTCCCAACCTTTTAACGCGACCATGATCCAACAGTGCGAAGCGCAACCCACCCCCTTTTAGCGGTAACGGGACACGAACCATGGATCCGTACATCCACAGACCGGCACACTAACCATTGGGCACCGAATGGTCTCTTATAAATAATAATTTATGCAGAGGATTAAACTAATTAAATAATGAGCCTATATCTATATAATAACATTCAGTGTTTGTCCGTATGTCACTCAGCTCCTTTTAAACCGTTGGTCGTACAGACATGTAAAAAGTGGTACCAAACGAATCGTCGCGGTTTGAACAAAGGTAAAATTTTTTACCCCACCCCTTGAGGAACCCGGAGATTTCCCGAAAACACCTTCTCCTAAACTGTTGGACTCAAACTTCTAAATGGTGCGAAACGAATCGTCTCGGTCCAGAGATTTGCACAAAGGTAAACTTTTCACCCAGGCCCTTTAGAGAACCCGCTTATTTCACGAAATCACTTTTGTGGGAATTCCCAAAAAGCGGACCCAAAACTTGGCATTGATTTACATTACAACATGTAAATAAGTAAGCCTACTAATTACCTTTTGTAACTTGGTTTTAAAGAAATTAAATTTGCATTATAGTAAATGTGGGCCATAGGCTAGTACCTTACAATAAAATTAATTCTGTTGCGTCATCGAGGTCACGTGACTGGTGTGGCGCCCTCTAGTTTCTAGAACTATCTTGTTACTTCAGGAATGCTCTAGTATTTACTAGATATAGGGTAGTCGGGTATATAAAAGAGGGTGACAACGTGACAGGGGAATGTAATGTAATGTGTGTGTGTGTGAAGATAGTGAGTAATTGAACTGCAGTCAGAAGTATTATTGACGTTCGTTGTTATAGCGTTTGTTTAGCGCGATTGTTGAAGTTGAGTGTATCAGTAAAGTTATATTCGGAAAGAATAAACCAGTTTTATTAAGAAAGGACTTGTGTCGCTTAAGTTTCGTCGGAACGAAGTTACGGAAAATCAATTGACAAACGGAGACGTAACAATTCCTTACCGAACTGTTCTTCAAATAGTCTGTAACTAATAATACAATCACAATAGTTCGGTTGACGGCCACTACATAACAAATGGGTGCTTTCAAATGCAATTATGTTTTTTCTTTTTAATGTTTTTGAATCCCTTTAAATTAATAAGAAGTGGTCCAAGACTTCAGTCAGAATTTATAAAACAAATAAAAATATTTATCATGAGATGCTATTTAAACGCTCATAAAACTATCGATAGCTTTTCCGTACTCTTAGTCTATGGATTATTTTCTCGAGTATGCTTATCTATAAAACAGGATATTCACAGTATTTGGTGTTTAACCCAAACAGTACTGGCTTTAACTCACACAGATGTATGAAAACAAGACCACTATTTCATCTTTAACACCTTACATCTTAGAAGAAAGATAGTGTATATAATAATACTAATTATAATAGTAAAACATACTTGAAATGGAATTAAATAAAAGAGAAACTAAAACTGAAGTGGACATGGTCAGGGTTAAGACAATGTACAGAGTCAATTTTTCAAGTCCCATCCTTACAGTTTCAAGTTTTCACTATTGACATTATGACACAATGTAACAATAAGATAGCTTCCACGCGTACTTGCAATTAATACCCTAACAAAATAAAATAGTTAGTGAAACACATATGTGACTTTAGAAGTAATATGATATTGCTCAGTTTCTGAATCATCTCGTATAAAGAACATTGCACAAAGCGATCTCCTAGCTGGAACTAAATGTGAAAGAATGAGCATCCACCAGAAGCAGCGCATCAGTTCTGTTACTAAGTAAATGATGCAAACAAATACAGTTTGTTCCAACTCTTCCCTCACATATTTGTTGGGTCGATAATCCCGCAAGGACAACTTAGTGGCCAATATCGCTCAGAAACCGAGAACAGTGAGAAGACAGAAACTGTGTACACTGGCAACAGCTAGAGAGGTGACAAACCCCCAAGAGACTATGTTTGCAAAATATCAATAACATGCTAGTTTCAACTAGACAAACAGGAAGAGTAATTAATTTTGAAATAACCAAAAATAATCTAAACTGTAAGTGATATTGTCATGTCATAAACTTTTCCTCTTTTCCCATAGCTTGTCCTGGGGTCAGACAAATCTAGATGGTCCTAATGTCCGTGAATTGAATAGGAAAACATTTTGATACTTTATATTAATTTATCATCCTGGAGCTCAATTAATATTAAATATTATTTCCAAATCAAATTCTGACGTAGTTATAGTAATTTCAACGAATCACGGTTCCATATTTATATATCACAAAAACCAACTCACAAACTTACAGGTAAAATCAAATGCGTACGCTAAACATAGAGGGAAAATATACGTAAATGTTACAAAATAAAATATAATAATATTACAACACAATCCAGTGAAATTAACTCTTTCGATAAAGGTAAAAATAATTAGAAAACGTTGTCATGCTGAATTTTAAAACACTGCAAGCAAACTTGGAAGAGACAATCAAATAACAGAACAAAATTGATAAAAATTTCAAAACAAAACCATAATTAACGGACGCAAAGTTTACTGGATAAACCTTAAAATAACGTTTTAGCAAATTGGCTTAAGTAAAAACAATAATATTCAAACTAAAATCGTAATAATATAGAATAAAATTATGACATGCATACTCGAAATGAATACAAGTTAAAATTAGATCAGCTACAAAAGGTAAAGCAAAGGCAACAGAAGGATGGGAGAAAATAAAATGGCAGCACACCCACTCCTTATTTCCAGGAGCTTCTGTTTCGTTGCCTTTGGTTTTCGGTTATACCAAAGGTATGCCCATATTTCAGTCTCGTGTTACCCTGACAAGAAATGATAAAAGTCAGGTGCCGATTTGAGAAATATTTGTTTGTTTTTTGAATTTCGCGCAAAGTTACACGAGGGCTAGCCGTCCCTAATTTAGCAGTGTAAGACTAGAGGGAAGGCAGCTAGTCATCACCACCCACCGCCAACTCTTGGGCTACTCTTTTATTGACCGTCACATTATAACGCCTCCACGGCTGAAAAGTGGGACGGGGATTCGAACCCGCGACCCTCAGATTGCGAGTCAAGCGCCACCTGGCCATGCCGGGCCTTGAGAAAGGAAATAAAAAAGCAAGATGTCAAGCTAACATAAAATTTATACAGTGATCGAAAGTGGCCTCCTTTTCGTCAGAATCCCAGGTTTCAGCATAGAGTAAAAACTAGCTGTAAGATCCGTATCATATCACTCGATATTCCACGAGAATAATTAATAATAAGGTCACAAAACAAAATAACTTATACACGATTGAACACATTCATACCAAAGACCAAATATCAAGAAGGGGGAGGCATGAAAGTAATGTGTGGGCAGGAATAAGCACTGGTACTGGTTGATCTACAGACCTTTACACTTTGCACAATGGTAATTTTAATGCCACTCATAAGGTCCAAATCCAACAACTATTTGTGCTGCATATGTTAGCACTGATCAATGGGCAATAACATCATTCCCACTGTGCTATATGGTTCAAATCCAACAACTGTTTGTGCTGCATATGTTAGCACTGATCAATGGGCAATAACATCAGTTCCCTCTGTGCTATATGGTTCATATCCAACAACTATTTGTACTACATATGTTAGCACTGATCAATGGGCAATAACATCAGTTCCCACTGTGCTATATGGTTCAAATCCAACAACTATTTGTACTGCATATATTAGCACTGATCAATGGGCAATAACATCAGTTCCCACTGTGCTATAAGGTCCAAATCCAACAACTATTTGTACTGCATATGTTAGCACTGATCAATGGGCAATAACATCAGTTCCCACTGTGCTATATGGTTCAAATCCAACAACTATTTGTACTGCATATATTAGCACTGATCAATGGGCAATAACATCAGTTCCCACTGTGCTTAACAAATTTCTTGGAGAAAATGAGGCTAATAGAATGGAATCGCCCACTGGATTTTAATTCCAAGTGAGCATGAATGAAATACTCTTGAGAGACGAACCACATCTAGACGTATGATATGCCCTAGAAACAACCCCTTCACAGGAATGGTCAAGGATACTTCAAGACCTTATCAACACTCTGACTTTAAGAATGATACGCTATTTGATACACTCCTTGGGGTAACTATACTCCATGTTTAAGTGGAATTAATTAACTGTTGGGATGTAAATTTATTTCTACCAAATGTTCATTGACGGGTGTAGAGTGATTGAACAAAAACATGCATTCTAGATCACATGACACCTCATCGGATGCTTGACTTGCGTAAAAATTAACTAGTGGGGGGGGATAGTGACATTATTTTGTAACGGTGATTTTAATTTATCAAAGATAAAATACTATAAATTTCAATTATTACTTCACTGTTTTGTAATTGTGGATTAATAGTGAATATTGTGTCACGTGGAAAATATCTGATGAGTGATTGCCAAATTCTAAAACGTTTGTCATGACCAGTATTTGTCTGGTTACTGTCAGTGAACAAGCTCTAAGGCCAATGACTTGATAGTCATGCCTAGTAATCGATGACCATACAATGATACAGAAAATGAACTGTTAGTACAGCTGAAGAACGGTAGGTCACATACAGAACAATATATAGTAAGACCTGGAGCAAGTTAACACACAGACTCAAAAATAAAACACACATACACACACAAAATAATAACAACAAGATTGTTTCATGCATG